CTATACATAGCTATTGATGGCCGTGTGTCGTGCTAGATTTGATTGCGATTTATATTTACCTATTTTTACAGCAAGTGGCTATAATCACGAAGGCATTAGGTACGCGCGTGGGCGAACTTTCGATATAAGGTATTAATAAACCATCGAAATCGTAATAGAACCATGGAACCGTCCCAGGGACGTATTGTTTTCGATCACAAGTGGTAATGAATAGGACTGAGAATTTAATACGCAATAAAACACTAAGAAATGTTTTTGTTCCATAACTATTCTGAACGATGTATTTAAAAAAGTGCACTGATATATTTTTAAATTTTTAATTAAAAAAATATTTCATAAAATTGATAAAAAAAAAAAAAAAAAATGTTGGAAAGGTTTAAACGGCGGCATTCGAGTTGCGGTTGGCGGCGATTTTTGAGATTAGTAGACATGAGTTGCGGTCACGTCATTTTAAGAATATTTCTGAGTAGCGATCATGTCGGTTATATTATAATAGTATATAGTTATAAAATTTGAATTTAAAAAGTAAAAAATTAAAAATATAAAGCTTAAATAAATTATAGTGGAGGTTGATTGATTAGACCGATAGACAACTGGTTTATTATACACACTACAGTGGCATATCTTAATGTAACATACTTTTGGTATTCGTGAAAATTAAGTGTTTAAGTTATTATCTAAAATCTTAATTGCAAAATATAAATCCACTTGGAGCAAGCTTGGTTTCACAAAATGTAGTCGGAAGGTTTTGTAAAATCACACAAATATACGGGTGAAGTTTTCGATTGTTTGAAAATATTTTCGGGCTTCCTTTTCTACGGCTTGACGAGATTGACAATTGTTTTATCTCAGATACAATGGCTCTTCTTCAACTTAATAACGAAAAATGAATTAGATTTTCGGATTATATTTTGAAAGTGTATGTAAGGAATGATTTAAGATACCCGTCATCGTTATGGACAAAACGTATTTCTACTATAACACGAACGATTAACGCATGCGAAAGTTTCCATACCAAGCTAAATAGCATGTTTTATCATGTTAACTCAAACATCTTCGTTTTTCTTTGAAGCTATAAATTAAGTACATACAAATAATTATTTAAAAATGAACTGTTCGCGTACTAATCTTGATTGAAATATAATTATTATTTATACTTGATTTATTTAATCTAAATAAAATCTACGTATTTAATCATACCTACACACAACGAATAAAAGTGTAGTCAGTCCTAAGTCTGATGAATGGGAAGCAAAGTGTTATAACTTTATGTAAGAATAATAAAAAAAAAAAAAAAAAATGATAAAATGTAATCAATTTTAATGTGACCGCCATTCGTCCGTATTTAAAATATTTCGACCGCAACTAGTATACACGGGTTTAAATCTTACTGTTTTCTGACAATGCAACACGCGAGTAAGTAACCGCTCGACAGTTTTTTGTACAATCATAAAAACCGTACCCAAGCTGGTGAAAATCTTTAAAAAAAATAATTTAAAATGCGAGAAAGACGATCTCGGTTAATATTTTCATAATTTTTCTAACGTCGATTAATTCTCGAAAACCGTAAAAATCGAACTTTCGCACTGTCCTCGTACGCGAAACAGATTTGTGACGACGTCCATTTCGTCCCCGGGCGCGTTACGCGCGCACGTGATCTCGCGGAACGACGTACGCGTACAACGTTGGCGCAGACGATGTGCAACAAACCAAGAAAAACGGTAGAGCGGAAATATAATTATTGTACAACGCGTTTTATAAGTTTCAAAACTTAATTATTACGCGAATAATTATTGTACACCGTTTTATCAGTTTCAAAACTTAATTATTGCGCGATGGCAAAACGTTCACCGCCGTTCAAGCGCGGTCGTTGCTACGTCTTGTTCGGGGGGGGGGGGGGGGGTTGTTTTTTTTTTCATCGTTACTGTTCATTATTTTCGCGGGCGCCGTAAAACCGTTGTTGGCGGCGGACGCGGAGAGAAGAGTCGCCGATGTTCCGTCCGTTCTTTCCCCGGCGCTCGTCTGCCGTTCGCGGTCATCACGCTATACGCGCATAATACGTTCCATAATTTATGCGCGTCGTGCTCATGTCATAACAATAATAACACGGTTCGACGTACCGTTACCGCGACGGCGTCGTGTGCGCGTGTGTGCGCGTGTGATGTACATGAATAAATTACGTTATTATGGTAACGAAATCATAAGCAACGTCGTCGTCGTATAATAATCGATATGTTATTATAATATTATTATTGCACAACGCCGGTATAGCGTCACGTCGTCGCGCTACCCTCGGATAATGACTTTACTTATTCGTGCGAAAAGAAAAAAAAAAAAAGCCCGACCGATATCGTCGTACCGTTTCACCTGGCGCAGGTTTCGATCGGGGACGTCTTGGATTACGTGTTTTTTTTTTTTTTTTTTCTAGATCTTTATGATTTTCCGACGCAGCCCCGGGCACAGAACAGAGGAATTGTTAGAAATACCTATGTAACGGCTCGCTAGGATTAACTTCTTAAACAGAAAAGTTAAACCAACGAGTGGACACTTTATTTATTGTATTACGGTATTGTGCGCTCGGTACATATTTCGATACGCGACTAAATCGCACGCGAAGATAGAATAAAATAAAAATCCTAGTCGATGAGTGTTTCTAAGGGTAGGTCGTTTAAGGGGAGGATGTTCGTTCGCAAGACTCGTAGTTCAAAACATAGGCGGGCGATCAAAAAGGTAAAAGTAATAACATATGAGCGATCTCCGTTGTGCGCCGTGAGAGAATATGAAAATGAATTGGCGAACGACATTCGGTTGAACCGAACAAAATTTACGCGGGAATAATGTCCGACCAGCGACGGGCAATAGATTTGAAATCTTTTACGGATGAAACTCTCGGTCAACGCCCTTAGGCCCAACACCGTAACAACAATCGTATTTCTGAACGCTCGTGTGTAAAATGTTCGTGCACTCGGATACAGCTTCGTGGAATCGAGAGCAGAGACTGACCCTAAACGCGGTTATAACATTGTTGTACCAATTATTTCACGTTTTCAAATGCATTGTTATTTAATATTATGACATTACACCGCCGTTGCAACCGTGTTTATATAATATTCTTGTAACGATATTATGGCTGCGGGCATCATTCGTGTAGTATGCGAACAATAACTTTCGGGGTTCGATATTAATGAAAAACGCTAGTTCGGTAACGCAAATGGTCGAGTAAAAACGATAAACAAAAATCAAAAGAAAAAAACACGAATAATCGTGGATTATAATAAAATTGTACACACGATTTATAAAAATATAACATTTATGCAAGTATGTGATTTATATTTTACTCAAATACGTATAAAAATTAATTAATCATAAGAATCTACAAATTACGAGATGCCGACATTTACAACCAAAATAATTCTAGGCGCATAAAAATTAATTAATAGAATCGAAAAAAAATCACATAATTGGCATACATCTTTAATTACATTAATTATTACGATCAATGCCGTAACCTTAAAGGCATAGGCAGTACCGGGTTAAGGGGGAGGGGGCAATGGGGGTAGTTGCCTCCGGCGGCAATTTCTTAACGGCGAAAACGAAAGTTTTCAAGTTTTCTAATTAATGATTTTTGAAAGAATTATTAATCATTGTTTATTAATTAATTATAACTATAATTGATCAATTATTAATCATGTGCATAGCGAAATTTGTTATTAAATTTTATTATTTAATAATAATAGTAATATAATATTATATCGCCTACCACAGGTATCAGATGAGCGAGCGTTCAGCGTATTATTATAATTATTGCTCTCGAAATGTTGTATATTCGTTCGTATTATCGTATTTATTTTGAGTATAATAATATGTTTACAGTAGTAAATACACTGACACATAGGTATAATCGTGTTTGTTGTATATCCGTATGGGAATGTATAATAATTTATAACCATCAGATTCTTAAATTTGATGTTAATTGTTTTTAATGATTTATTTGTACACTACCAAGCATTTTTTTTATTATTATTTTATCGTTTATTTGTCTTTCGAGTATTGTTTACCGTTGTCGTAGTGTCGTCAAGTGTCAAGTCTATTGACTGAACAATAAACGGGCTTAATATTTCCCAACAGCGGTTTTTCTTCAATTATTATAAACAGAAAATGCATTATGTTAAGTGGTGCTGAATGTTTATACTAAACACTATTAGTTTTATTATATTAAAACTACCGATGATACGATACGTTTATAAATATAGATCAACTAAACAATTTTAACACTATTGTTATTTATGTATTTTTTTTTTTTTTTATGATGGATACAACGGTACAATGATTTTGTAAAGGGTGGCATTTTAAAATCTGCTCCTAGGCGATATATTCGTTTACATGGCACTGGGCATGGGCCCGAAGTTTCTAGCCGAATTTCTCTACATGTTTTTTTTCGAAAATCTTATTAAAAAACAACGCAAAGCCCAATGCATCGAAAACGAGTTGTAACGTCGATGGAAATAAACGAAAGGAAAAGTTTCAATCTACACAACTCGAAGACGGAACACTCGGGCCCTGGGGGAATTTCTTTTTTATTGATGATATTATCGTCGTCCGCTCAGGAAATCCTTTGAAATAATCGCTGATATCGTATAAAACAACGGATGTACGGGCGATACGGTGAGCTACAGCCATGCCACGTCCGTTTCGTGCACGGACACCGCCGATTTACCGCGCGTATTTTCTCTACTATAATACTACCCTTTTGGCCTCCTTCCCTCCGCGGCACCCGGTCCCGGCCGTATATAACCTACTATTCCTCTGAAGCATTGACCCTCGCTCGGCGACTGTTACACCACCACCACCACCACCACCACTACCACCGTCACCAGTATCACTATCACCACCACCACTACCTCACCAACACCGACAACCGTAACACCGTTTCACACGAGAACGTTTTAATCAATAACAAGATAAGGTGTTGGCCGCCGCCGCCGCCGCCGACGCTATCACATCCAGTCAGTCGTTTGATAAAACTGCACCGAAGAAGGCCGCCGCCATAGCAGTCGCGGTGTGTACGTAGGCGTTGTAGGAAAAGAAAAAAAAAAATTACGCTCGACGTGCTCGACGATTTGCGACACCGGTGAACGGATTTTAACGGGAAAAACTATCTTTAACTAATTTTTTAACATTTTTGTTTTTTTTTCTTTTCGCCGTACCTACACGTACGAGAACGTTTATCCAAAATAAATTCAATACGAAAAACCCAAAGAGGGGTTGACGAGCGGTGGCGGCCACGATGCTCGCGAAGCGACGGACAGTTGCTGGTCAAACGGTTGCGGAACTCGGGAAGTGAGACCATCGGTCGCCGATAGTTACGCGCGTAACGTTTCGAGGGACGGCACCGCTTCGTGCGCACAGGGCACACGTAATTCCCGCCCGCGCGTACGTGCACACTGACGACCGCGTGAATGTCGCGTATCGCAGCCTCCGCCGCCGCCGCCGCCGCCGCCGCAGCTGCCGCCGCCGCCGCCGTCGCCGTCGCCCCCGTCCAGTTGCCAGTACGCCGCTGTCAGTTACGAGTCCGCCTCTCGCGCGCGTCGTCGCCGCTGCCGTCGCCTCCCCGTCCGCTGATGACAGGTATTATTGCTCTGTCCGGTGCCGGGTGGACGACGACGGTACCGATCGCTCGCGGTTAACCACCACCACCACTACTACACGTCAATGCGGTCGCATCTCTTCGGCGGCAACAGCCATGTCCAACGCTAGGAAGACCAAGTTCGTGACCGTCAGCGACTACACCTAAACTAGACGTCGTCCAGGGCCTATATGGTGGTGGCCGACAGCAGTATGTTGTCGACGGTGAAGGAGGAGTCGGTAGCGGCGGACGTGTTTCAACCGCATGTCAACGTGAACGATATACCGCCGTTGCCAACGGCACTTCCGACGACATCCGCTTTTCCTAGCAGCCCCTTGGCGGCCAAAAAACAAGCTCTCAAGTCGTTCAACGAAGTACAGAGTCTTCTTACAGGCGGCTACCAGAAGGAAGTGAAGAAGATACTGCGCGACAACTCCTGGCCGACTAACCATCCGATTAGGTCTCAACTGTGGCCAGCGCTTTGTAGACAACATGCGTCTGACAATAGCAATAATATGCAAGAAGGATTTTACTGGGACCTTGTAGTACAATTATATGGATCTACTGGTAAATCGATACTTTCAACAATCATTTTTGTTATATATATTTTTTTTTACCTATCTTACTTGTTAATATATATTTACTGATGATAATTATTTATGTACATGGTTTTTAATATTGCAATAATTATTTAGTTTTTTTAATTAATTTATAAAATATCTGTTAGATACCTATCAACTTCTTAAATGATTTTTAAAAATCAAGTACTATTAATTTTAGCTTGCTAGAATTTTTTTTAAAAAATATCTGATTAACATTTCTCGATGTTATGTTAATTTATTGGTTAATTTTGACTTAACAACTACACTTTTAAGATTACAGTACTCAATTGCAATATTCTATTTAAAAAAAAATAAATATATTAAAGCTATGGGTTATAGGTTTAAATCTATAACTTTTGGTATTTGTACCTACTTTATTACTATCAGTATCAAATATCCTTATGACATATTCTAATTAGACCCATATTCCAATCCATTCCATTTTAACTTAATCAATTTTTTTCTATAATATTTCAATTAATTAATTTTAATAACAGTTTAGAGTTATTTATGTTATAGATTTTTATAATTGTTTAACTTATATGCAAGTGCTTATTTTAAAAATTGTTTTTATATCATGTTGTCAAATCATATATTCATATATTTTTTTATTTCAAGAAAATTTAATTTTTAATTAATATTATGTTATTTTTTTTATTTTAATTTTTCTTAAATAGTACTTATATTTTTAGATATACATAACAATAATGAAAAGGTTTATCTCTTCTATCAACATTTTTTATGAACTATTCAATCATTATTTACCTATTCATTTTGTCATTACAATTATTTTGATTTACATTTATTGATTAATATATAATTTTAAATTTTATATTGTAAAGTATGAATTAAATTACAATAAAAATGGTTCAATGTTAACAAATTACTTTTAAATATTCAGAAGATAACAAGAAGTTCTGTTGTTTTATTATTTGCTTCTTAAATCAAGTACTTAAAATTAATATATTTTATGAATATTGCTTTTTTTATTTATTCTAGAATTTAAATAATGTACAAATTGCAAATTATAAATTATAGAAACATGAAATTTTAAATAATTTAATAAGAAAGAGAATTAAATTTATTATAATCCATAAAAAAACTTAATTACTGTTTTTAAAATATTTTTTTTAATTTAACTAAACAAAAGTGGGAATAAATCAAATTATTTTCATAACATATAATATATTAAATACTTTAGGTGATGTTACTGAAAATATTAAAATAAACCTTTATCTTTTATATTAATACATTTTTAAATATAAGAATTATGAAAGTGTTTATTATTCTTTTGTTCTTTTTGTTAAACTGTGAATTTACTTATGTTATAAACTTTTTCTGCTTAATTAAAATATGATTGAAGCTTATAAAATACATAATTGTTTTAAATTAATTATTTTTTTGATTCAATTTAAGCATTTTCAATTTTTATTGTTATTGTAAGTTATTTAAATATTCTTTGCATTTTCTTAGATCTTCCAGATAAACCAATTATTTTACCGCCATTTGTTGAATCTAAACATCGACATTTGCATCATCTTGATTCCACTGGCAAGAATATTACTGATAGAATTATTTGCGTATTGGGGTTTGCTTGTCCAGATATCACCTATAGTCCTGCCATATATTCGTTAACATCATTGCTGCTACACTTTATGCCTGGTTTGAACTTAATATTATAATTTTATTAATATATTCCATTTAAGAAATATTACTTTATTATTATTATTATAATGTTTCTATTTTTAGAAGAAGAATGCTATAATAGTCTAACAAGCTTAGTTTCGTCGAAGAAAATAGTATTTGTAACACAAACAAAATTATTGTACGAAGTTACATGGAAAACTGTAATGCATATATGTAGAAAACATGTTGTGCGTAAAATTAAAACAGTAAATTAGTTAATTTTTTTTTTATTAAAATGTATTAATTTTTAGAAATCTGCAGCGGGTCACATTGGAAAACATTGTTCAATTAAAAAATCAGAAAAGATATATGTAGATTGGATTTGGTGGATATTTCAAGGACTTCCATTTCATCATGCAGTTAGTTGGATATTATAAAGATTTCTTATTACTAGTATTTAAATGTTTACACCAAGACAAAATAATATTATTTTAGGTTCGAGTTATGGACTGTTTTCTTCATGAAGGAATTAAAGTGTTATATCGTCTAACAATGGCAATTTTACAACTTTTTTACAAATACTCAATAACAAGCAATTCTATTTGGGCTGAAGAAATAAATAGTCATGGTGTAGATGTAGCTTTAATGAACTTTTGTCGTCAGATGCCAGTAATATAACATGTTTACAATAATATAATTAATAATTATTTAAATCATAATTATAATTGTATTTAGGTAAATCCACAAAAAATGCTTAAAACTGCATTTAAAATTCGTGGTCTCAGTTCAGCATATATTCATAAAGTTTTTGTGAAAACCGAGATGATATTGAAGAGTAAAGCAGTGTTGTCTGGTTCTAATAAATTGAATCGTTCCTGCTCAAGTGAAAATTTACCTACTAGTCAATCGCAAATGAATATGAATATGGTATCACATACACTTACTATTCGTGAGGTGAATTATTTTATATATTATAATATATGTAGTCAATGAAATATGGATGCTATTGTTATAATTAATATAATTATAATTTTGATCAACAATAATAATGAAAAATGTGTGAGTTTTTAACACATTAATTTATTAAGAAATCAAAATATATACTTATATACATACTTTTTATGAAAATAACAAAAAGATTTTATTTCTGTCTATTTTAAATTTGTCACAAAGTATAACTTTGTTTAGTACAAACATTAAAAAAATATTAATAATAAAAATATTATATGAATATTTTAAAACTATTTTAGTTTTTAAATTTAGTAAAATAATTTTTTAATGTTTGTATTATTTCAATATAATTTCTTGATACCATTAAAATATGAATATAAATTAAGAATAATTAAAATCATAAAATAATTAATTTTATTAGTTATTTAATAAATATTATATTTTATTTAATTAATATTATTTTTTATTTTATTAATTTGTATTATGAAAATATATTGCTTTTGAAGGATATATTTATATTAATTAATTTATAATATCTTTTGAAATATAAATAATATTATACTACTTTTACTTAGTTAACAGCTACTCGTATATGAGATAATTTAACATATTATATGTATACATTTACTTAAAGAATATCGTGTGATGATCTTTTCCAATATTGATTCTGTTTTTTTTTTCAAAATATGTTTATAAACCATTAAAATAATTAGTAAACAGGAAATTATTATTACAAATAAGTAGAATTCACACAATGGCTTCAATTATCAAATGATTTAAAATCATACATAACTTTAATATAACATTTGGTAATGAACTTGTACTTGTATGTGTTATGCTGCAAAACAGGGAGAACACTCACCAAGCCCTCGGGCTTCTACCATGGCCAGTTATCCAATTAACAATATCAGATCTTTGATAGCTAACCATCAGGATGTAAGTTTTTTATATCCAAACTGCAGCTGAATCCCAGATATTTTATTTTTTTTCAGATTTATTTTATTTATGTATTTTTGCATTTATATATTTTCATCTTAGCTTTAATTTGTAATGTAAATGCAATAAGCTTTCTAAATTATTTATGTTTTTAGAGTCTTAGACTAGATAATAGATTTATCTTTGGATTTATATTACCCTAAAATTTTATTATTTAGTTAATTTTAACTTGTTTCATTGTCTATCGTTTGAAATTATCCATTTATATGTTTGTTCGAAGTTAAGTAATTACTATAAATACATTTTTATTTTATTATCATTAGTACACATTGGATAATAAGTATAGGTATTATAACTTAATTTACTTTTAATAATGAACTTAAATAATTAAAAGTATAGTTTAAAAATTATTTATTTTAAATGTATTACATTAAATTTGAATTTTAACAATGGGCTTAGAAAAAATAAAATGAAATATTTAATGGTTATATTTAATAAAGTATTTAATATAAATACTTTTAGATAAAATGCTGCTAGTTAAGAATTAGTATTTTCTATAATTGTTAATAGTTATCATTAAAGTAATTAATTTTAAATAATAATATTTCTCAGAAAGATTTTGAGTATTTAAAGAAAGAAAAATTTAAATTGTAATTTTACTGTTATAACTAAAGTTGGACTAGTTCTACATAAATAATCAATATTGGTTTTTATTTTAAAAGTAACTATTAAAAAAATATATATTTATAACTAAAATTAAAATTCATAATGTTAGAAGAAAGTTAAGTTTTTAATGATATATGATCATTTATACAATTATAAGTTATAAAATATAAATTAATATTTTTATAATAATTAATTAAATAATAACTTGATTATAATTATCTTATATTATAAATTGTAGTTTAATCTGTATTTTTATTATAATTTCATTCTATCTATTTAGAAATTTATTGAAAATTGCTTATGTTATTATTTCAGTTGAATAATTTGATTATCAATAATAGATCAAAAGGTGCATAATAAAGTTGATTAATCATTTTTGAAATCTGAAATATTTACTACAACCTTCTTACAGCTTGAAAATATTAGACTTAGGTTATATTTTGCTCAGTTGAAAAAATATAGTTTTGCTTATTCAAAAACTAATTAAAACCAACTAAAAATGAAGTTACAAATTATTGGTGTCTACTTTTTATCATTTATCAGTTGTCATAGTTATTGTAGTATTAAAGCGTTCTAATTAAAACAGGTGATTTAATAATCCCTTTATTCCCAGGATATCCCTGCTAATTCACCGTGATATTTAGAAAGCAATGGTAATAAATAACTGCAATAAAAATAAAAAAAAATTTAAACTGTTAAAAACTGCTCTGATACCCTGCTCTGATTTTTACAATACATTATGAAATTTGTAAATTATTTAAGTAAGCTAAGTACATTTTTCATCATTTTACCCATGCATGAGTAATATCTGATAATTAGTTTTATTATTTTTAACCCATATTCATTATTATTGTAGCATAAAAAGTATACTATGAAAATATTTACCGAATTTGAATTTTGTATGCAAGTCTTACCACGTATTTATGAAACGTAATCGAGGCTTGTAACTATTAGTTCAATTGGGTTATTGCGTGCGAATGCTTCGTTTTGGATGCCTTCTATACCATAAATGTATTCAAGTACATATTTTCGAACAGACAAAACGACAGTAATTATGTAATTATTTAATTGGACATTTTCTATTGGTATTCGTAAATCTCCTTTAATACATCTACAAATGACAGTTCAATACACTGGTATAAATAATAATAGCAATAAATATTCACTTGTTCATCATGTGATCATTAAAGTTTTTTATTGGTTTATCGTACTTAATGGCTTTTTTCAAGATTATCCTTAATCGCCCTAAGAACGTGTTATGACGTATAACGATTAGGGTAGGTACAGAATACGTACCTGTAGGTATTGCCAGTGACACGGAACAAAATTTTGAATGGTTTGGTCAGTAGCCACCCAATTTACAACTTACAACCCACCTCACCCATTGAGGTGTTTTAAGGGGTTGGGAATTAATCACCTCCCAGAAATGTTTAATCTATTTTAGAATGTATGATGATAGTATTTAGTTACTTAAACGTTTTAAATAGTAATTATTAAACGGTGAGTATTATAATTTATAGTTAATTGAGCTAATTAACTTTTTACTTGTAAATTCATCCATCACAGCACCACCCACCATCCTTATGAATGATCTGGTCATAACCAATTTGAACCCCAAATTCGGTGCCATTGGGTATTGCACATGTATAAACCAGATTCGCTGATGGACTTTTGTCTCGCATTAGGAACACTCGCTTAACCCAATACACAAACGGTAGACTTATAAAACGGTTACAAGCTTCGAGTTCTTCGACTAATGTATTATTTTGTAGTACCTACCTGTTGTATTACATGTACATCGGGTGTATGGCTTGAGCGCATTTGCACGTGTTCGCTGAGCACCGTACGGACTGATAACGAAATCGTTTGTATTGCAGCTTTTCACGTTGTGGTCCTGGTTGCCGGTGAGGATAACGATGTACCAGCCGATTCTCCTTTACACGACCGAGGAGCACGGGTGCAGTTTGACCACGTTCTACGTACGGGTGGAACAACACGAGCCGACTCTTCTGTTGATAAAAACATGCAACAACGAGGTATGAAACGATTTGTGTTACCACAGCCTATTCGCTCGCGACGTATTGTTAATCGCTGTGAACAAGATGGGAACTGAGTACTTCAACTATTTTTGGCGAAAATGATAATCGGGGTCTTATTAGCTTCAGAGGTTAGCATTTCAGCTTCACGTAAGCGGGTGCAAACATTTTATGAAGTCTTACCACTCCCTCTCTTGGCCAACTTTTGAACAATCAAAATCAAACCCAGTGTACAAAATGTAAATTTGATTTTCAAAAAAATCAATATAATGTGTTTCAAACGATTTTAAAAGAATAAAAAACAAACAAAATAGTCAGGGGAGTCATTTCAACTTTTGAAAGGGTGGGGAAATTAATTAAATTCGTCGACTTCATAATATTTAAAAAGATTTTGTTACCTATATATTTAAATATTTATGGACGATAGACTATCAATAAAATATTTTTATGGAACAAAACATGGAAGGATTAGTAATGAATAATGATGATAAACAAAGAACATGAATCGTTTAAATTTACCCAATTAAATAATAACATTAAAGATAGCAAAACATTAATTTATTTACTTATCCTATAGGTTATAAGTTACCTATCAATAGGTGTAATGGAATAATAATATATATCTAATTAAATAAATAGTAATTATTTTATTATTTGTATATTTAATATATTACAGAACTTATTTATAAAAACATAAAATTGTATCTCAATTATAATATACCGTAGTTTGGGGTGAATAGGAACGATTTTAACGGTGTTTTTTATATATTATGAGCTCAATTTTTATGGTATCAATATCACGAAAACTGTTTTATAAAGATCACATATATAGAAATATATAATATACCAAAAATAAAGTTTATAAGGTTTGTGTAATAACGATTGTCATAAACTAGGGAGGAGCCAATGTTTCCCAACTTTTATTAAACCGTGAACGTGTATTTAAAAAAGAATATTATCTGATTTATGAATAGAAAATACTAAATAAAAATTTACTATTTACCGTTTTTAGCATTTGATCATCGGATAAAGAATTGCCGACTTATTAATTTCTTAGAGTGGGGCATTTATCATATTCTGCCCCCCTCCCCAAAAAACGCCCCTTAATACAGTCCAAAAAATATAAATTAATACCTAAGTCAGTTATGTATACAATTTTTAAAGGGCGCAATTACACACCTTACTCTTTCCTGAACAGCCCCGCGTTAAATTAGTTTAGGTTTTTTGAGATAGCAAATATGCCGTGTATGCTCTATTTTATTTTTTATTTTTTTACAATGCCCCATAACTTTTGTCTTTCCAATTCAAGCATCAATTAATTAGGTGGTTTTTTTTCCCCCCCGCACGGTCCAAAAGGTGTTCGGCGCTTACTGTTCCTCTAAGTGGATGGAGCGGAACAAAATGGATGACCGCGGAAATCGACAAGCGTACTTTGGCACCGGCGAGACGTTCATATTCAGTCTATACCCGGGCAAAGCAAAATACTCATGGGTCGGCATGGAAGTTGATAACGTGCACCACGCCAACGAACTATTCATGGCCGCCGATCAGAAAATGATAACCGTCGGCGGAGGGTATGCTACTCATATCACCAGAAAATTATTACAATGATTATAAATTCAGAGCTTAAATTTTATAATATATAGAAGTAGTGAAATATGTGCATTTTATAACTTAAAAATATTTTTTAAAAAAATAAGATTTAACCTTAAAACTAAGAAAATCCCAACAACAAAATGTATTAAAATTATTTTTTAATTGTTTATCCTTTTAAGCATTCAAAAACAATTAAATTTATTAAATAATATTAAGAAAGAACTTAAAAAAAAATTGCTAAAAAGATTAAATTCTAATCATTTACAGCATAAAATGTAGGACTTGAAATCTTTGTTTCATAAAACAAATGTCTAGTTTAATCTATTACTGGTATTCTATAATAATAAACAGAACTCGTAAGTTCATACATTTGCATATGAATCTTGCAAAGTTGTATTTAATGCTAGATGACATAAAAATCCATTTCAAGGTACCACGGTTAAATATGTGAAATCTTATTTTGCATGTTTTTGTATATTTGGCATATTTATGCATATTTCTATTTTATCGGGCATATTATACAGCATTCTATTAGAATCTATTAAAAATCTAAATTGAAAATATATATAAAATTAAAATTAGAAATTGTATTATCTTTTATTTTTTTTCTTGATACTCGTACATTTAATGAATACATTTGTTTTAAATTTCAGATTTAAAATTAATTACTGACAAAGACGCAAAGCACTGACAAAGCATTTTTTTAAGTGCATAATTTTAGATATTTAGTGCATATAAATGCATATTTTTGAACTTTTCAAAGCATATTTTGCCAATTTTAAGTGCATAAATGCATGCTTATTTAGGATTTTTTTAGGGCATGAACTTACGAACCCTGATAATAAAAAAACGCTATAGAATCTGAGCTCGGGCCATGATTTTAATATTCGTGTTTTAGGGATGGCCAAGCAATTTGGATGGACGAGAATGTTCGATACGGAAAAACGGAAAGCTGTTCCACCTTTAACAATCCACCATTGTGTAAAAGTCGTGACTTTGAAATTAAAGTACTTGAAGTATATGGTTTTGATGGAGTGTGAGTAATCGTGAAATAATTTTAATAAAATTATAATGGAAAAACATCTTAGGTCAAAACAACAGTGAAAATTCAAAATTTGGTTAGTTATATTTTTTTTTCTTTATATTTGTCCAGAAAAATTATTGGTTCGAACTTTTTTGTGCTAAAATATTTGTATTGCAAAGAAAAAAAAATAAAGATTTCAATAAACAAAAAAAATTGTTTGGGTATGATTCACACATTTTGAAGATATTTAGGTTACAAATCGGTCTACATTTATGAATACAAATATGATCCTCAAACTGTCTGTCAACAACATCTAGAAACCTATTTCATTTTTTGTTTCCGATTTATAAATATTTTATATTATTTAGTGCATTGTATACGGACGTAGTTGTTACGGGTATCCACAGAATATCTACTTTTAAACTAATATTTGAATGCCGATTAAGCGATAAAGCCATAAAAGAGTGTTGATCATTATCCATTTTTCCGAAGACCGTTGTACCTTGTACCCTATTGTATACAATTTCCGATATTCCTTGTATCGATATATCTATAAAATAGTGGTCGATATTAGTAATGGCACAATCGAATAGTTATCGATACGATTGATTATTTTCTTGTTAAAAAAAACATTCGAATGAAATTACTATATAGTACTGATTGTCATTTAATCTAAATTTCATATACTTTTAAATAGCATTTACACCGTCTACATTTCAAATAATGAAAATAAACTTATGAAGAACCTTATATTGCATTTTCAAGATTTTTTTATCGAAAAAATTTCAAATGTTTAAAAAAAAAGTGATGCTTGAAGATTTCTCATTAAATTCATAATAGGTATCTTGAAAAAAACTGTCTATCCGCTATTTTCAAAAATATTTCTAATATTTCGATAATGACTATTCGATAGTGCTCATCATTAATCGATGTATCATGGTATCGATGATGGGCATGCAATGTATCGAAATTTTGATATAGCAAAACAATTTTTTGCCATCCCTAAATACAGTAATATCATCCACCTCTATATCTCATTTGACCTAAGAACATTTGACATGTAGTTTTAATATTCTTAGTGTTTTAAATTAATTAAATTAGAAAATAAACTTTAATTGTCTTTGTAGGATTCTTTAAGGAAAGAAATTCTTGCAACTACTAAAGAAGGTGACAAGTTATCTAGTCAACATTTTTTTCTATTTTATTATCTAATCTTTACTTGTATGTTAAGTTTTTTTTATTGTTATTCATAAATTCATTATTTGTTATACTAAATCCATGTTACTTTATGATTATTCTAATGCCTAGATTTTGCTGTGCGGTAATTATTGAATAGTAATTAAATATATGCGTTGAAACTACAGTTGCACAAGTTTTTAATTTGAACTAATATTTTGTAAAATTTATATTTATTCAAATTCAATAAGTTGATTGTGAAAGTTTATTACCTACATGACATTTTTCCAATTATTTAAATGTATTGGAATAATGAAAATTATTAAAAACTGTTGTTGTATTTTTTCAAAATTGAGTTATTAATTCAATGCATTGGTTATACATAAGTACTAGAATTGTATATTATAAATATATATACAATTATTTTACTTTGTAATTTAACTTTTTGTGTATCGTAGTAAATTAAATAACTTGGCTATTCTTATATTTCTTATGTGTGACAACGGGTATTTGATATTAAACTTCGTTTATTATAAAAAATAAAAACTCGTGCAACCATTATTATATTTATGAAACGTTATTACCTATATTATTAAGCTATATGTTATCATTAATGAAAGGACACAGTCTGTTTCAGAAATATAAAGCCACTAATTTAAGTTGAGACCAAAAAAATCCTATTGCCTTAGAGCATACATCAATTTATAATATTATCGTATTTATATTGTATCCTCTGAATTTAATTTCTGTAGAACTAGTTGTGGATTACTTTTTTGATTAATACATTTATAAAATATCAAGTAATTCCACAATAATGCAATTTGTTTATTTATGATGTTTTACTCTAGGGATAATGTACAAATAATTTTTTTTTATTTGTTTATGGTTGGATTTTTTTATTCAACCTTATTTTGCATTATACTGTCTCTAAATGTGTTCAAAAATTGTTATTTCTAATTTTAAGCAATTTTTTTCATCCATTTAAATACTTTTAGTGAAAATTAAATAAAACTATTAAGCTATTAAGTTCCTGAATAAATTGTTTGGCTGTATGTCTGATTCAGGCTGTATATAAATGTATTATCAGTCGAAATATTATTATTTAGGAAAATATATTAATTATTAGTTATATTGTACTTAATTCTATTATATTGAAATAAGTGTTATTGTAAAAATTGAGGTAATATTTAAAAATGATGGATTTTGGATTTGTACTACTATTAGGCCGCTATCATATTTTACTGTTTTATAATATACCGATGTTGTGTAGTTCTGTTGGTTAGCTTTTAGCCAATACACTGCTATAATCGTTACATTATAATATTATAATCACCACATGATAATTATTTGCATAAATTAAAAATGATTACAATTGCATTTTAATGATTCCTATTACATTTTCTAAGCTATATATCATTATTTGAATTTTTTTTTTTTAATACCATACATACATACATAGCCTTACTTGAACTTTTTATGTTGAAAATATTTAAATTATTTAAAACTATAAGGTTAACATAAGTTTTTGGTTAACTGAGAAATCATAACTAAATCTATGCCACTTATATATGTGTGTGTGTATAAAATACTAAAAGTTTATTTAAAATTGTAATTGTATTTATTTAAAATATTCAATATCATTCTGAATTATAGTTCATTTATCTTGAGTTTTTTGCACAGGTCATTAAATATAAATTTGAATATACATAAAAAAAAAAAAATGAATCAACTTCAGTTTTCTTTTTGTTGAGTTATTAATTTATTATTAAATTTAATTAAAAATAATTGTTTGATTTGGCATAAGTGGTTTAGTATTAAGAATGTAGGAAAATTGTCTTTCAATCTAACATTATTCTAATTGTTATTTAAAAATTATTTATTTTTATGTTATATACATATACATGTATAGTATATTTATGATTTCTCGCCTATATCATTGTTACCAAGTTAATTCCAGTACTATAATAGTAATAATATTATGTTTGTGTGTGTTAAAAATATTAAGTTAGCATGTGATATAATTTGTGTTGGGTGTGGAAAAATTATACTACTTATGTTATAATATTGTATTTTGCAGTTATCATATTAATATTATTATAAATTATTATTATTATATTATTATCTGACTACAGACTAGATTTTTATTATTATTCTTAGACTGTTGCTATACTATTAGCCTAGTGTTACTTAGTCAAATATTTAATATATAATTTATGTTATTTAAAGATTACGATATAAATTTTCCCATTGAGCTTTTTAGTTGTTTAAAGTTATGTACTTGTTGACAAAAGCATACTATGCACACTCTCATGTCAGATTTATAGATATGTTAATTATTTTGTTAAGTTATTTATTTATCAGTTGTACACCTATAGCTTTATTATCGTGTGAATTGTTAAGCATATACTACATGTATACATACATGTATTATTAATATTATTATTATTATTATTATTATTATTATTATTATTGTTGTTATTATTATATTATAAATTTGTGTTACATATTTTATTTTATAAGTGAACTATGTTCAGTCTCTGGTAAAATTGACGCAACACGATTTTAGTTGGAATTCATCAATATTATAACTGCACTTTTCATAATCAATTAAATTGCATTTTAAAATATTAAAACCATTTAATTTAATAGCCATGACTTGACATATATTAATTGCTTGTTTTATTTTTTGCACTGTAAACCACTATAAATTCAATAACACAAAACAAATTTTTAATTTTTAACAAGCAAAAACATTTTGAAAAATTATAATTATTAATGTGCATGAAAAATATTCGCAAAATGATTTGTAGTTTTTTTTTATTAAGAAATTAAAAAAGCAACAGAATTTTAATTGAAATTATTTAATTGCTATACTACTAATATTGATATGTTTGTTGCTACTTTTTTACCAGAGACTATTAGTTTCACAAATATATTATAATATATAAGTAGTACAACTATAAAATATGTTTTTTATTACTATTAATTTTATTATATTTGAAGTCTAGTCGAGTCTTTAAGTGGCGCGCCTTTTTTTAATTCCACTCATTATATTATGATCCCACAGCGATATGTTACTGTTACCTTTTAATTGTTTTATATCGTCGCCATCTGTGATATTGAAACATCCATTTTATGTTTACCCTTTCCCACCACCCCCTATTTTTTAATACCAACATTTATTACATTTAAATTAAATTTTAATGCATAAAAAATGCTTTATACAGTTTTGGACATTTTTTATATTTTAAATCAAATATGTTATGTAACTGTCCAGTAAGTGACTGAATAAATTTAAACCACCTCTTTTGACCAACTGTTATATAATATGCATAATTGCTATTTATTTGTTAATACGCTACTCTAAATGTCATGCTGTACATTTTTGTTATGATTCACTGTTATAATGAAAATAATTTTTTTTTTGTCATTTATTTGTTACCAATATAAATATAATATAGTCATTTTAATACCTTTATATACATATAGTATCCGTTTGTAATATTAAGATTTGTGTACCTTATATTAAGAGTGAGAATAAGACCCACAATGTATTCGAACAAAGTAAAATATACATTTTGACTTATAGTATCATATTATGTATTTCAAATTAATATTGAATATAAATCCTGACCTTATCAATCCTAATTGAATATTTAACAGAAAATAGGTTGAACTATTTTTCTCTAAAAAAAAAAAAATTAAAATTCCTTTTTGCTCTACAAATAAATATAATTTTCCTCTAATTATATTTTTCAGTGATTATTTATTTGTGGACTAAAATTTTGAAAATAAAACTTTGAATGAAACTAGTTGCTAGTGATTGGTCGTTCCTGTAGTAATAGTATGGTACAAATATTTTGATCTGCGATTTGTAGGCCACTGAGTACAATATATAATTATATTAGTTTTGAAATTTCTATCAGTATTGGCTTGTTTAATATAAAAGAATAATCAATTTTTCACACTTAACTTTATATTGTATATAATCTGTTAATAGTTGCATTAATATGGTTCATTGAATATCCAAAAATAGTACAAGTTGTATTTCAATTATGTTTTATTTCATTGACAACAATTTTACTTTGAAATATGTTTTATTGGGCTGTCATGAATTCTCTGGAAACCATTCAAGTTTAAATTTAAGTAATTAAATAGATTTGATCTTATAAGAATGGAAATTACAAACCAAAATTATTTTAGCAGTATCAGACAATATAAATAACATAAAAATAAATAAATATTGGGGCAGAAAAACCAAAGAAAGTACTTCAGGGCATTAGTACTGGATGGAATTTAATATAATCTAATGATTGAATGTTTTATTGAACTTTAAAGTTCTATTTGTGGTACTCATGGATTTTTAGATTATTTTCCCAAAAAACTAACAGTAGATGAATGAAAAATAATAAAAGAGCTTTGCCTAGTATTAAACCTTTTTGAAGAAACAAAAACTGTAAGTTGAGATAAATATATGATTGCATCTATTGTTATAGTACAATCACAAGGACTTATAAATGTACGAGATGAATTACATAAGCAAAATTATGATCCTAGGGTTAACAATGTTCTAAAAAAATGTCTCTAGGGTAAACAAGATAAATATCGCTGGAGTGATATTGCAAACATAAGAATTCTAATCCACGGTAAATTTCTCGACCCACAGTTCAAAAATGTTTGTTACATTTACATAAAATCAACAAATAAAAATTAACATCACTGAAATCACTAATACTATAATATCATCTCATAAATCAGATATATAAGCAGATGACAATAAGACATTTTCCATAAATGATAGAGTTCAATAGATTCAAGTTGTTAAAATTCAACTAGCAGAAACTAACACATCAAAGGCTATCATTGGAGTACAAAGATATTTAGAAGATGGGCTGCAACAGCGAAATACTAATACACGAAAATGGTTGGAGGATAATAAATATAACTATCCACATTTGAGTTAGGTTGCCAAGAAAACACTATGCTGTCTTGGAACATCAGTACCTTGCGAACGTGTTTTCTTAAAGGCTGGGTTATTGACCAATGACTGTCGTGATAGACTCAACAGCGAAAAAGTGGTAATGCTTCTTTTTTTTTTTTTTTATACCAAAATATGTAAAAAAAAAAAATAATAATTTTATATACATAACATATTTATTTTATAACTGTATTTCTTTTCATTACCAAATATTTATGACGATGACAACAATATAGTATTTATAAATATTAAACAATTATTTATTGTTACTTATACAATAATAATTAATTTCAGTGTACTCACATTTTGA